GGGAGAGAAGGTGGGGGAGGAGAGAGAGGGTGAGGGAGAGGTATGGAGACAAGAGAGAGGCTGTGACTATTTTCTATCTACTCTATTATTCCCTTTCCTTTTTCCAGATTTTCTCTCCCTGTTCCAGATTTTTTCTCCATATTCCAGATTTTCTCTCCATATTCCATATTTTATCTCCCTGTTCCAGATTTTCTCTCCCTGTTCCAGATTTTCTCTCCCTGTTCCATAATTTCTCTCCCTGTTCCAGAGTTTCTCTCCATATTCCAGATTTTCTCTCCATATTCCATATTTTATCTCCCTGTTCCAGATTTTCTCTCCCTGTTCCAGAATTTCTCTCCCTGTTCCAGATTTTCTCTCCATATTCCAGATTTTCTCTCCCTGTTCCAGATTTTCTCTCCATATTCCAGATTTTCTCTCCCTGTTCCATATTTTCTCTCCATATTCCATATTTTCTCTCCATATTCCAGGTTTTCTCTCCATATTCCAGATTTTCTCTCCATATTCCAGATTTTATCTCCCTGTTCCAGATTTTCTCTCCCTGTTCCAGAATTTCTCTCACTGTTCCAGATTTTTTCTCCATATTCCAGATTTTCTCTCCATATTCCAGATTTTCTCTCCATATTCCAGATTTTCTCTCCATATTCCATATTTTCTCTCCCTGTTCCAGAATTTCTCTCCCTGTTCCATATTTTCTCTCCATATTCCAGATTTTCTCTCCATATTCCAGATTTTCTCTCCATATTCCAGATTTTATCTCCCTATTCCAGATTTTCTCTCCCTGTTCCAGATTTTCTCTCCCTGTTCCAGAATTTCTCTCACTGTTCCAGATTTTTTCTCCATATTCCAGATTTTCTCTCCATATTCCATATTTTCTCTCCCTGTTCCATATTTTCTCTCCCTGTTCCATATTTTCTCTCCCTGTTCCATATTTTCTCTCCCTGTTCCATATTTTCTCTCCCTGTTCCGTAATGTTCCTCCTTGGCTACGACTGGTCATCACGACTCTCCCACACTCACTCCCAAACTGCTCGACAATCAATGCTGTAACTTTCCCTGGGAGAGAAAGGGTGAGAGAAAGAGAGGGGGGGTGAAAGAGAGATAGGGTGAGAGAAGGAGAGAGGGGGTGAGAGAAAGGGTGAGAGAAGGGAGAGAGGGGGTGAGAGAAAGAGAGAAAGGGGTGAGAGAAAGAGAGGGTGAGAGAAAGAGAGATATAGGGTGAGAGAAGCTGAGAGAGGGGGTGAGGAAAGCTAGAGAAAAGTGAGAGAAATAGAGAAAAGGGGTGAGAGAAAGAGAGAAAGGGTGAGAGAAGGAGAGAGGGGTGAGGAGAAAGAGAGAGATAGGGTGAGAGAAGGAGATGAAAAGAACCAAAGAACTTACACAAACAAAGACATTGCCAGTGATATGACCTCAAAGCTGTCTTAAGTACGTACACACTCTGGCTAACGCTCAGTTCAAGCCTCCAGTCATAACAAGTCAGAAGAAGATTAGTGAGAGACTGCCAGCCAGTTGGGAAAGGCAAGAGATATCTCTCTTGGGAGAGGAAAAACTTGCAGTTAAGGACAGCTTTGCCAAACAACTGGACCAGTTATTTGACATAATTACTTGCAAGTGCCCAATTGTTCTCTGTCCTGAGTTTGGATGCGATCGTGACTGTAAATCCGAGGCTCTCATCTCCTATATTTGCAAGCGTGAACTGAAGATTCCTGTGATCGAACTGGCATTTGTCAAAGCACAGAGAGAGAAGACTGGCAGTATAGGGGCTCTCATGATTTCTAGCCAAGATATTCCGGAGTCCAAGAGACAGGAGGCTGCCACAGAGAGGCAGAAGAGAAGAGTTGCCGAGGAAAAGAGACTTGAGAAGGCCCAGAGTGAGGTAAAAAAGGCCGATGATTGGAGTCAAGCTGATTCAGAGTTTAATGACTTCCCCATGGCTGATCCGAGTGCTGACCAGGAGAATGGTGACTTTGTCCCCAACCCAGAAAATAATGATCCCAAACCTTCCAGGCATAAGATTCGAAATAGGAAAGATATCCCGAGCATAGCTCTGGCCAGCATGCGACACCACACTGGTCTCAGAGAAACTGCAGAGATAGCAACAGCTGCCTGGATTGACGGTGGTTTGATAACCTGATGATGTTCACCTGGTGATAGATCATAACAAAGTAAGGAGAGCTCAGGAGAAACTTGTCAGTAACCTAGAAGAGGAGTTTGATAAGGGATAAGAGAAAATGGAATCAATTGTTTGTTCTTTGATGGAGAAGGAATGACACCAAAGTGTTCATGAAAGCTTGAGTCTTGGACAAGTTGCTCCCCTGCCATGGTGAAGGAGGAACACTACTCCCTGCTGCAGTGAACCAGGAGGGAAGTATTTGTGGCATTTCACCTCCAGAGAAAGTATTGCACATTAGGGCACCAGCTGAGATAGTGGCAGATAACATTGTGAACTGGCTCACAGAGAGGAACGTAGACCAGACCCTGCAGGCCATTGGAGGGGACAGCACCAACACGAACACAGGGTGGCAAGGGGGGTCATACAGTGGATAGAGCGGAAGATTGGGAGGAAGCTGGTCTGGATTGTTTGTGACCTCCACACCAACGAGTTGCCACTGACATCTGATCCAGGAGCTGGATGGCAAGACTCTTTCAAACAACAGATGGTCTGGTCCTCTTGGCAAGATGCTGGACTCTGCCACTGAGTTAGAAATAAATCCGACCTTTGAAAAAATCACAGTTGG